CTTTGCTCCAGTGGTCCCCAACCTTTTTTGTACCAGGGACCAGTTTCACGCAGAAACACTTTTTCAAGGCGGGGGGACACTTTTTCAAGGAGGGAGGGAGGGGAAGGAGTCCGAGTTTGGTGGTTTGCTTCCAGACGTTTCATTACCTGACTAGATAACATCTGATGTTGTTACCCAGTCGGGTAATAAAACGTCTGCCAGCAAACCACCAAGTTCAGGGAGGCTCAGGACAAGTCCCTGCAGGATGGCTGAGAAGCCCCCACTCTCAGCCCTGCCTCCCTCAGCCTCATCCTTCAGGTGTCTGCCTCGTTCCTCTCTCAGTCGCTCTCTCGCTCCTCCACCAGCCCAGGAAGAAACTGCTTCAAAGAAGCCGGCAGGGTGGCTTTTCCTGTCGGCGCAGCTCCTCCAAAAGCGCCCGTTCACCCCCACCCCGCCGCCCGCGGTTCAATCCAGTGCTCCGTTCTGCCTGCCTGCCTGCCTTCGTTTCTGGTTGTTTCGGGGTAGCTTCAGCTGAGAATAATAACTATCCGCCTCTTTTACTCAGCCAAAGCTGCTCCGAAACGACCAGAAACGAAGGCAGGCAGGCAGAACGGAGCCCTGGATTGAACCGCGAGCGGCGGGGTGGGGGTGAACGGGCGCTTCGGAGGAGCTACGCCGACAGGAAAAGCCACCCTGCCGGCTTCTTTGAAGCAGTTTCTTCCTGGGCTGGTGGAGGAACGAGAGAGCGACTGAGAGAGGAACGAGGCGGGAGGAAACCGAAGCCCAAAATGCCTGCAGAGTATTTTGAGGAAGGGAGACTGATGTGCACAAGAGGCAGGTTGGTTGAGCTCCAAAGAGGCTTCAGTTGTTGGAATAAAATGCCCTGTGGAGAGTTTTTAATTTATATTCTGTTGACCCAGTCCTGCTTCCTCCAGTTGTTCCATTACTATCTTCCCTTTCCAATTTTCAGATTTTTTCAAAATTCTGTCTATTTAAGGCACAGAATTTATCTGTGTCTTTCCACCTTCGCTTTCACAGCATTCCCTTTCTGTAAAGCCAACAAACATGATATGTAAGTTGGCATTGTCATATGACATAATGCTTAAAGATTGGGCTGCTTACTAACACAGATGCTAGTCCCAATTGCAGTCAGTAAGTGAGCACTATGTTACCAGAGTGGTTGTGAAAAATATATTCTGCCCTTACTTGGAGCTGAGGATTTCCATGGGCAAAACTGTACATGAAATCTTGCAGAGGGTTTAGGTATCATTTCATCAGGTAAAAACCCACAATCTTTACAATTAGCTCAGAAGATTCATCTGGGATCATTTTGGGATCATTTTCAGGCTAAAACACATGCATTTTCCACATACATACAGATAGGCATGTAAATCTGTATTTCTTTTTGTATGCATATCTGTACAATGTATCCCCAACATTTCCAGATATAGTTCATGATAAGGCTTTGCACTGCTAAGAATTTGTGAATCACCAAAGTGAAAAAGAGAATTTCATGACTGAATGCATGTTTGAACGTGGAGACAAATGTGTCAAATGAATCATAACTAATGTAAGAGGTTATTCTTTAAAGTGGCATGTTTGCTTATTTATTGCAATGTATACTTTTTTTCATCTTTTTCACCTCTACAACCATTTTATAAAGAATTAAAATTACATTTTTCTTTGAATCTTACAGACAAAGAGGATGGCAATAAAAGCACTCTTGAAAATTGAGAATAATAAGCAACACTGGAAAAAAAACCAAAGCCAGCAAGAAATCAAAATATTTTCTATTTTCTTCAGAAAACTAGAAAATTCTTCTCTTTTCCCAGCAGTTGAGAGACAAGAAGAGAAAATTCAAGCTAGAAAACGTAGAGTGTGAAAAACTCAAGAATACGTTACATGAAAGATCAAGGGAGATTGTATTTCATTCAGAAAAAGAAGGGTATCTCTGAAAGTCAGCAGGGAGAAAAAGGTGTATTGGATAGCCACATAGAGCAGACTGTGATGGAGGCTTGGCCCTGTGAGGAAAAAAACAGGTTGAAATAAAGCACCAGTAAACAAATGATCACACATATATATGACCTCAAGAATATCACCAACCTGGTGACACATCAGAGGACTCACACAGGAGAGAAATCATATGAGTGCCCAAAGTGTGGGAATCGTTTTAGTAGGAATTTCCACCTGATGACACACCAGAGAACTCACACAGTATGAAATGTATTACTGTCCAGATTGAGGCAAAAGTTTCAGTCACAATTCTGATCTAATGAGAAACAAGAAGACTCATTCCCAGGACAAACCGTATGAATGTCCTGAGTGTAGGAAACGTCTCAGTCGTAATTCCAGTCTCATTATACACCAGAGGATTCATACAGGAGAAAAACCATATGAGTGTCCAGATTGTGGGAAAGGTTTCAATTGGAATTCTGAGTTGGAAGTACACCAGAGAATTCACACAGGAGAAAAACCATATGAGTGTCCTGATTGTGGGAAAGATTTCTCTCGGAATTCTGACCTGGTGAAACACCAGAGGACTCACAGCGGAGAAAAGATATATGAGTGTCCAGAATGTGGGAAATGTTTCGGTCATAATTCCAATCTTTTGAAACACCAGAGGATTCACACGGGAGACAAACCGTATGAGTGTCAAGATTGTGGGAAAAGTTTTGGTCAGAATTATAACCTCCTGATGCACCAGAGGATTCACACAGGAGAAAAACCATATATATGTCCAGATTGTGGGAAATGTTTCAGTCGGAAGTCCAACCTTTTGAAACACCAGAGGACTCACACAGGAGACAAACCGTATGAGTGTCCAGATTGTGGGAAAAG